GCTATTTATCACTCTATATCAATGTTTCTGAACCGTAGCCATTTTGAGAGGGGAGGACTTCAACTCCCAGGATTCCCCAGCTGGGAGTTGAAGTCCACCCCTCTCAAAATGGCTACGGTTCAGAAACACAGGTCTCTCTGTACATATATAAAGACGTATTTATAGATAGATCTCTGATTAGAGTTATCTATGGCTTTCTCTTCGCGCTGGCTCCCTGCCGAATTTCTCTAGTTTTGGCAGAACCAGGAAGTTGGCTGCAGTCGAGAGGGGGGGGGAACCCTACCCCAAATCATACCTTTGCCCCACCGATCTTCGGGGAAACATCCGTGGCGTCAACGATGCAGAACCGCTTGGCTCGAAGCCGGGCCTCCGGGCACGCTTGCATCCTCCTTTCGGCCCCTTCTTGCCCCTTCCCGCCCCCCCCACTGGGGTTTTCACAAAAGCAAAACAAAGTTTTAAAAAAACCGACTCGTGATCTGACATGCTCGTTTCTTTTAACACCGTTTGGAAAGAAAGGAACACAATATAGCACCTTGTTTTCGAAGGGAGACCGAGGAAGGACGACGGCGGGAGGCATGGCCGATGACGGCGGGGCGTCGAAATCCTTCCGAACGCAAAAAACCCAGGGCAACGTCGGTCCCGCTCGGCTACGAGGGACACAACGCCACCCCAACTCGGTTCACAATGGCATGGAGTTATGGGCGTCAAACCTATTAGAAATTCCCCCCCTTTTTTTAATATATTAAAAAAAAACAGAGTGATTTGGAACTGCCCCATTTTTTGGGAACAAGTCGGGACCCTCCGGTTGAATTTTGGGAATCAGGAGTGTCCCCCGGGGAGAGGTTGGGCCGCCATCGGCCTTGGCATTTCTCGGCTGCCCTCCCAGGAAATCAAAGCTTAAAGGATGAGAGGAAGGTGGGGTGGGGGTGGGGGCTGCTGGCCAGGCCAGGCCTGGGGTTAAACCAGGGCACATTTTGAAGAGGGAGGACAAGGAGGTGGGTTTGGGGTCTCTGTCCCCTTTCCCCCTTGGCTAGTCCGGGCATCGGGCCTGGCTCTGGTTGGGGGTTTGTTTCAAAGTAGGTGGGGGTGGTTGGGGTATGGTCAGAGGGAGGGAGGGACCCCCCCATTTCTTCCACCTCCATCAAGGGCCCAAACTCTGCCGAGGGGGAGCACCGCGATCCGCCCGCCTGCCTGCCTGGGGCTGGCTAAGCATCATCCCGGCTGTAGTCCCACCTGGGTGTATGTGTGTATGTGTTTCTGTGTCCCCCAATCCCTTTTTTAAGCCTCCTCGTGCGGTCCAGGCACCATCCATCCCTCTTCCGGCCGAGTGGCAGCCCCTCCTTCAAACCGGGGGTGGGGGGGAAGGCTCCATTTGCCTTTAAAGTCTGCCTAGGGGAAGAACGACAACGATGACCCTACAGGGTTGGGAGGTCAAGGGTGGAAGGAGGGGATTGGGGGGCCCTGTAAGCTTCTCGCCTCCACCGTCTTTCTCTCTCTGTATTGTTGTTTGTTTGGGGGGGGTGTCTTCCTGCGAGGGGAGGGTGCAAAAGGAGAACGAGATGAGCGAACCCAAAAGGGTGGGCGACACAGGGCCCGTTTGGAACAGCGGCTGCCTCCCCCGGAGAAGGAGGAGGCAGAGAGGCAATTGGGGGAGGTCTCCTCTCCAGAAAAGTTTTTTTGAGGGGGGGGAAGAGATGCATGTCTGGATAGTCTCGCTGCGCGCTTCCTTCGGGTGTGGGTCTCTCTCTGGCGCACGCAGGGATCTGGGGGGGCAGGACAGGGGGGGGCTCAGACATAATATTCCTTGTCTTTGTTTTTCTTGCTTTTGCTGGCCGTTTTGGGGGCCGCGGCCGGCTTCTCCTTGACCACCGTGCCGTTGCTCTGCGCCGAGTTGCTGATGTAGTTGCGGCTCTGGTCCACCTGGTAGGAGCCTTCGTCCCGGTTGCGGTACTTGTACATGGCGTAGAGGAGGATGAGGATGCAAAGGGCGGCGGCCGCCACGATGCCCACCACCATGCCGGTGGTGCTGCTGGACTCCCGGATGACCTCCACGGCGCCGGGGGGACCCCTCTCCCCGGGGTCGGTGGGGTTAGCTGTGGGCAGATTGTGGAAATCGGGGGAAGAGGTTATCACGGGGTACTTGGGCCGGTTGAGCTTGTCGGGCTCGAAGGAAGTGGCCAGAGGGGGGAAGTGTTCGGGGTGGGGCCGGAAGGGCTCACGGTTGTTCATTTTGCCGGCGGGGATGCGGTGGAGCAGGGTGGGAGAGGTGGTGGAGGAGGAGATCAGGAGGTCTGGGCCGGAGGGGGATGCCGGCAATCCTGTCCTAAGGTTGGGGCGGTATCCGTGGGGCTTTTTGGCGGCTCCTGCCTCAGGGCGGCCCATCGGGGTCCTATCGGTGACCAGGGGGAAGGTGGTGTAAAAGTCTTCGTCGTCGGTGGGGGGCAGGCTGGAGTCGAAGACCTCCCCGGAGGCGTACCCCGAGGCCTCGATGCCTTCCTCGCAGTCGCTGTCGTCTTGTTCGGCCAGGCAGGGGGGCTTCGGCTGAGCCGGGAGGGAGATCGTATCTTTGGTGGTCTCGATTACGGTTAGGAAGGGACCAAAGGTGGGAGGCAGGGGGATAAAAGGAGAGCGCGTGGCAATTGGAGGGGTGTCTAGCGAGTCTTCGGTTATTATGGGCAAGACTAATTCACCTCCTAGAACAGAGAGAAAAGGGGGAGAGAAGAGAGGGGGGGAAGAGGGTCAGCCACGCGGCCAGGGCCCCCCCCATCTCCACACAAGACAGCGCTAACCACAAGATACAGCTAGCCAAACCCCACTGACTCCATCCCTGGCAACTTCCCTTTTATTTTATTTTTTTTTGTCTAGAGAAATCATAATCAAAGGAAAAAATAAAACAAAACAAAGGATAATTAAAAAAGTCATTTAATTCGTAAAAAAAAAAGAAAGAAAGAAAAGAAGGAAAAGAAAAAAAGAAAAATTAAAACAGATAAAACAGCAGAATTAAGAGCAAGTCACACCCTCTCTGGCTGATTTCTCTTCCCATCCTCTTCGGCTAAAACACTAAAATATTCTTTCTCTCTTTCTCTTTTTTTTTTCCTCTTTTTTTTTCCCTTTCTGTTTTTTTTTTTGTTTTGTTTTTTTTTAAAAAAAATAAGAGCAAACCACGGAATTCAGTCAACTTACATCAACAAATAGGCCGTGTGATATTAGCATGAAGAAAAAAAATTACAAAAAAGAAAACTAGGTAAGAATGTTTTTTGGACGAAAAAACAACTTTTTTTTTTCTTTTCGTTTCTTTAAACATCTCTCTCTCTGCATCTTGCCTTTTTTATTATTATTATTATTATTTGTTATTATTACTATTTTAAATTTTGCTTTCTTCCAAGATTCATTTCTGCACTTTGGCTTTTTCATAACGGCACCCCCTTTGACTCTTCCCTCCTCCCGTACCCCCAAAAGACCCCCCCCAGGCCTTGTTGCACCCCAGATCCCTATCACCCACTTTGATGTTCCAAAAACCAAAATCATCAGGGACCTGCAAATCCCCCCCTTTTTTTTTTTAGCTCTTTGCTAATTTGAGGATTTTAGCTCTAAATCGAGGCAACAATAGGACTTTGCAGAGAATCGTCCAGGGCTGGGATTTTTTTATTTCCCTTTTCCAAATTGATCCTGGATCCAAAACTCCCCGTCTGGGTTTGACCTTCCTGGCCTGGTGCAAAATGAGCTCAAAGTGGGTGGTTGGGATTGGGGGTGTGGGTGGGTTTTTTTTTTTCCTCCCAAGGAAGGGTGTCATAGTTTTCCCAGGACTCCTACGGGGATCCCCGGATAGGAAACGGATGGCAGAGGTCAGAGCGAAGAACCACCTCCTCAATACAAGTAAAAAAAAAACCAAAAACAAAATGAACTTGAAAAGGGAATCTGGGCTTAATCCAGGCTTGTTGCTATAATTAGGTGCAGAAAAGTGGATTTGAAGAACCTGTCTGTGTGTTGTGTGTTGTGTGTGTGCGTGTGTGTGTCTGTGTGTGTGTGTAAGAGAGAGAGAGAGAGAGAGAGAGAGAGAGAGAGAGAGCGAGAGAGAGGACAGCCATTGTTCTGAAATAGTATAGGGTTTCCTGCCTGAGCAGGGGGTTGGACTAGATGACCTCCAAGGTCCCTTCCAACTTTATTATTATTGTTGTTGTTGTTGTTGTTGTTTTGTTATTATTATTATTATTATTATTATTATTATTGATCATTGCACAGTCAGCCAGATGTTCAGACTGGATTTGGCATTTTTGTCTACCTATCGAGTCCTTCCCAAGGACCTGGGATAGGCAGATGTGGATGTTTGATGGGATTACAGATCTTGTCGCAGGATGGAAGCAGTTCCTAGTAAGGCCGCCTTTTGCAATTGACTAATAGAGAATTTGTCAATGCCGATGGTGTTCAAGTGGTGCTCCAGTTGCTTTGGGTTGTTGTTGTTGTTGTTGTTGTTGTTATTATTATTATTATTATTATTATTATTATTATTATTAAGAAAGCCCCTCCTTTTTAATACAAAAACGGGGGGAAACCCTTCTTAGAAAGTTAGGCCATTGAATGGCATGTTGTGAAGAAACAGGAGTGAGATTTAAGGTCACTTTGTTGATAATTCAGCATATTTCAACATCATTAGAAAGGGAGGTCCAATAAATAAGTTTTATTGGATGCATCCAGATTTATCTGGCCATTGTAAAAAAGATGTTGAGACTCTGGAAAGAGTGCAGAGAAGAGCAATTAAGCTGATCAGGGAGCTGGAGGCTAAAACATACAACGAACATGCAGGAATTGGGTATGTCCAGTCTAACAAAGAGAAAGACTAGGGGTGACATGATAGCAGTCTTCCAATATTTGAGGGGCTGCCACAGAGAAGAGGGGGGTCAACCTATTTTCCAAAGCACCAGAAGGCAAGATGAGAAGCAGCGGATGGAAACTAATCAAGGAGAGAAGCAACCTGGAACTAAGGAGAAATTTCCTGACAGGGAGAACAATTAACCAGTGGAACTACCTGCCTCCAGAAGTTGTGGGTGCTCCATCACTGGAGGCTTTCAAGAAGAGACTGGATCTGAAATGGTACAGGGTCTCCTGCTTGAGCAGGGGGTGGACTAGAAGACCTCCAAGGTCCCCTCCAAACCTATTATTCTGTTAATATATTTCCGCTAACCATCTAAGCCAGTGTTTCTGGCCTCGGCAACTTTAAGAGGGCTGGACTTCAACTCCCAGAATTGAAGTCCCAGAATTGAAAGCTGTGGAATTCTGGGAGTTGAAGTCCACAAGTCATCAAAGGGCCAAGTTTGAAGACCCCTGTCCTAGCAGAACCTCTGGGGAGGGGCTGCCCCATTGCAGGGAGAAAACTAGATTGAAGATCTCTTAGGAACGGCACAATTGTGTGCCCAGCCCAAGATAAACCTGGTTATTGAAAGAGCATTTCCACACATCGGTTTATTTTGTGCTAAAATAAACTGTGTTTTTAATCTCCGTCATGGGTGTGTCACCTTTGCATGTAACACACCGAACATTTCCAAGCGGGGGAAAAAAACAGGAAGATTTTCATAGAGAGCAAGAAGGGAAATAACGGGCTGTGTCTGAACCCGTTTTGTGTTCCTAAAATCCACGCTACAAAATTCAGAGCAGCACAACATGACAAGGACACCGTTTTGGGCTGCATCTTAACCCCGAAACAGTAAAACCACAGCAGCATAATTTTGAAAAGGCCGGCTGGCCTAAATCTGGCAGGACATTTAAAATGGTTTTGAAACAGATTACAATTATGCATAATTTTATTCCTCCGCTGAGTTTGCTAGGTTGATTAAGTTAAAAGGTTAAATGGAATTAACCCATTTTAGCTTAAAGCAGAAGCTAATCAAATGGGCTGGATTGATAAAAAATCAGGAATGATGGAATGAGCCTGGAGTTTTATTTGGGTTCTCGAGCTGGATGTTGACAGGATCTCTCCAGGGGAGAAATGCAGGAAGACAGGTGACACCACCCTATAGGTTAGAGAACAACTCCCATCGGCTCCAGAAAGGTGCCATTCTACCTATCTACTTGCCGGGCGGTGCAGGGCAAACAGTCCCCAGGTGTGCAACACACGTGTGCATGCCTTACACCCCCCCTAGCAAGCTATTCCCAACGGTTAGGCAGTGAGTTCATTAAGGAAGCCTTCAGCTGCAGAGCCAAACTGGGTTGGGTTCGGATGGCAGGCAGGAAAAGCTGTGTCAGACCGGGTGGCAACGCACAAGGGCAGCTGGAGAGTAAGCGAAACGGTGGCTCGCTCGTCCGCCCGCTACGGTGAACAAGCCTGCTTTTCACCCCAATTACATGTCATCCATTTGCAGATTCCTGCCATCTCAATCTCCCGCGTGCCTGGGGGAATGCTGCAGAAAACCTCATTTGCTGTTTAACAAGCAAGAACTGAGACTTTAGGAGGAAAGTCCACCTGGAATTATCACTTGATTGCAGCTGTTTTTTTTCTGATTAGCTGGGTTCTCACAACCCACTTTACTAGGACAATTAACAAGCCTAGCTGCTGCACCCAGTGATGTTGGGGTAGGGTTAAAAGAGGGTTGTTTTGGAGGGTGTTTTTTTTTAAACCGAGTGTCGCAAACCCAACCTGGATTGGGTGAACCCAGGAAAGAGATGAACTGGAAGCCTAGGTTCGGTGACATGCAAATCTCGTGACTGCCCTCCATTTTGGAAAATGGGTTGTGTGAATTAAAGGCCCAGTTTAAAAGACTAATTGCCTCCAGAAATCGTGGACGCTCCATCATTGGAGATTTTTAAGAAGAGGTTGGACAGTCTCTTGTCTGAGATGGTCTAGGACTGGGTCATGGGTAGGCAGCCTTGGCTCTTTTATGACTCGTGGACTTCAACTCCCAGAATTCCTGAGCCAGCCATGCTGAGGGGAAAGGGAGAAATTTCCAAGCTGAGCCGTGCTGGCTCTAAGGGAGCAAGATCTAAGCTCCAGTGCAGATTGGCTGCATTTACACAACACGCAAGACTGGAGCAAAGCTGGGTTTGGGGAGTTTCCTGGAATGTGCCCACAATGAGAACGATTATTCAGCTTTGCCTCCACTGGAGACTTTTAAGAAGAGATGGGAGAACCGTTGGTCTGAAATGTTATAGTGTTTCCTATCTGAGCAGGGGGTTGGACTAGAAGACCTCCAAGGTCCCTTCCAATTCTGTTATTCTCTTCTCTTCTCTTCTCTTCTCTTCTCTTCTCTTCTATTCTATTCTATTATTCTATTCTATTCTATTCCATATTTCTTCTGTTCTATTCTATTCTATTCTATTCTATTCTATTCTATTCTATTCTATTCTATTCTATTCTATTCTATTCTATTCTATTCTATTCTAATTTTACTCTATATTATTTCTGTTCTGTTGTTCTATTCTATCCTATTCTATTTTTAATTCTATTCTATCCTATTCTAATTTTATTCTATATTATTCTACTCTATTATTATTCTACTATGGTTTTCCCAGTTGCAATGTATGGCTGTGAAAGTTGGACCATAAGAAAGGTCGAGCGCCAAAGAATTGAGGCCTTTGAACTCTGGTGCTGGAGAAGACTCCTGCGAGTCCCCTGGACTGCGAGGCGATCCAACCGGTCGGTCCTAGAGGAGATCAACCCCGACTGCTCTTTAGAAGGCCAGATCCTGAAGTTGAAACTCAAGTCCTTTGGTCATCTCATGAGAAGGAAGGACTCACTGGAGAAGAGCCTGATGCTGGGAAAGATGGAGGGCAAGAGAAGAAGGGGACGACAGAGAATGAGGTGGCTGAATGGAGTCACTGAAGCAGCAGGCGTGAGCTTCAGTGGACTCCAGAAGATGGTAGAGGACAGGAAGGCCTGGAGGAACGTTGTCCATGGGGTCGCGATGGGTCGGACACGACTTCGCAACTAACAACAATTATTCTACTCTACTCTATTCATTTTACTTTATTCCTACCTTGTAGTTTGTACTGGGCCACTGTGAATTAAGCCTCATGAGATTTCTTTTGTTTACACACGGCACGTGTCATGAGCACAACCATTCTCTGCATTAACCTGAGTTTATTCTTTGGTGTATTGTGTGAATCCTGCTAGAATGGTGGTGATAATAAGTGTATCCATGTTTTAAAGCATGAGAAGCCCTTGTTAGAGAGTGGTTTTATTTATTTATCCACTTTATACAGCTACCCATCTCAAATCGGTGACTCAACTCCTGATACTGGGTGGGAGGTGGACTGGATGGTCTCCAGGGTTCCTTTCAAGCCTTGCATTTTATGTTTCTATCACTGTAGAAATGTCCAACAGCTTCCATTCTACTCTATTTTTAGGTGGACTTGGAGAATGCTTTTATTCCATAAGATCTTTCATGCTTGATCTTTTATATTTCAAAGGTAAGGCCGGCGTCTTTTTTTTTAAAAAAAAATCATTGTGTCTTTTAATGCTTTTGCTTTTGATGTTTTCTGCCTTCTTTGATCTTTAAATATTGATGGAGCCATCTATTTTTTTTTGCTACTGTTGCAACATCATTATTATTGTACTTATTGTCAACCTTGGGAAAATGATTTTTTTAAAAAAGCAGAATACTATTAACACGGGTTCTGCTAACTGGTGCTTTCATCCGCCTTTCCGCTTTTCAGTAGAACTTGAAGGCTAAGGAGTTTGAAAAAGTTTGATTTTTAAAAAGTGAGACTGCCGCCGATTGACAGGACCCTGAGTTCTGTGTGTAAGTGATGTAACTGCAGCAAGCAGAAGAGCACCTTGTTGTGCACATATGTGAATCTTTGTGTGTGTAAAGAGAGAAGAGGAGAGGAAAGAAGAGGAGAGAGGGAAAGGGAAGGGAAAGGGGATAAAAGGAGAGGAGAGGAGAAAGAGAAGGGAAGAAGTGAAGAGAGGAGAGGAGAGGAGAGGAGAGAAGAGAAGAGAAGAGAAGAGAATGCAGGAAGGAGGAGGCAGATGTGGGGCCCAACTGCTACTGGGGGTCCCAGTTTTGCCAAAAAAAAGTCCTCTGCTTGAGTCTCTGCACAGAGAGACCCCTCCAACTCATCCCTGGGCCTTGGGCAAGGCTGGGGCAGTCCCTCCCCCTCCTGACTTGGGGGTGTCCCGGGGCAGCGAGGTTGGAAAAAGACCCACCGGTACTCGGCTCGCACTCCTCCAGGTCCTCGTCGTCGCTGGGACACTCGGCCGAAGCCACCAGCAGGTCGTCTGAATTCTGCAGAGAGGGAGAGAAAGGGCTGGCAGTCAGCAAGGGGGGGTGGGGGTGGCGATCCACAGGGCTACCGTTTTTTCCTGCAACACAACAACTTTGTAAGGTAGGTCGGGCTATGAGACACTAGCCCAAAGGACCCCCTGCCTAACGCAGGATGAATGGCTGTCCAGTCTTTTCTTAAAAACCTCTACTGATGGGAGCACCCCCAACTTCTGGAGGCAAGCAGTTCCACTGGTTAATTGTTCTACCAGGAAATTCCCCTTGGTTGAATCTCCCTCTGACCAGTCTTCCTCCCCCACATTGCTTCTTCTTCGGCCTTCAGAAGAGACAGGAAAGTCACCTGTCTGAAACGGTAGAGGGTCTCCTGCTTGAGCAGGGGGGTGGACGAGTACAGGGGTCCTCGACCCCCAGTCTCTGGCAAGCCAGAACTTGGTCCATGTGAACAAGCAAAGCCCCATCTGCGGGATGCAGGCAGCGCACGAAGGCCCCCCCCACTCCCCGGTCTGCGGAAAAGTCTCTCTTCCTGGAACGGGTCCCTGGTGCCCAAAAGGTTGGGTGACCCTGGACTAGAAGACTTCCAAGGTCTCTTTTAACTCTGATATTCTATTCTATTCTATATTTTAAATTCTATTCTATTCTGTTCTATATTCTAATTCTATTCTTTCTTATTCTATTCTATATTCTATTCTATTCTATTCTATTCTATTCTATTCTATTCTATTCTATTCTATTCTATTTCTTATTCTATTCTGTTCTATATTCTATTCTATTCTATTCTATATTTTATATTCTATTCTATTCTGTTCTATTCTATATTCTATTCTGTTCTATTCTATTCTATATTCTATTTCTATTCTATTTCTTATTCTATTCTATATTCTATTCTATATTCTATTCTATATTCTATTCTATTCTATATTCTAATTCTATTCTATTTCTTATTCTATTCTATATTCTATTCTATTCTATATTCTATTCTATTCTATTCTATTCTATTCTATTCTATTCTATATTCTAATTCTACTCTATTTCTTATTCTATTCTATTCTATTCTATTCTATTCTATTCTATTCTATTCTATTCTATTCTATTCTATTCTATTCTATAGAATAGAGAATAGAATAGAATAGAGCTGGAAGGGATCTCAGAGGTCTTCTAGTCCAACCCCCTGCTCAAGCAGGAGAACCTATACCATTTCAGATAAGTGACTGTTTTAGTCCCTTCTTAAAAACATCCAGTGATGGAGCACACACAACCTCAGAAAGCAAGTTGTTCCACTGGTTAATTGTCCTCATCGTTAGGAAGTTTCTCCTTAAATCCTTGATTCGTTTCCATCCATTGTTTCTCGTCCTGCCCTCTGGTGCCTTGGAGAATAGTTTGACCCCTCTCTTCTTTGTGGCAGCCCCTCAAATACTGGAACACTGCCATCATGTCTCCCCTGTTTCTTCTTTTCTCTAGACTGGCCAAACCCAAGTCCCCCAGTTCTTCTTCTTATGTTTTAGTCTCCAGGCCTTGGATCATCTTAGTTGCTCTTCTCTGAACTTTTTCCAAGGTCTCAACATCCTTTTTGTAGTATGGAAATTAAATCCTGTGTCCACGTAGCTTTGAGAAGAGCAGGCAGAGGGGGAGATGAATCGCCCTCTTTATATGTGGGTAACAGGCCCATAACCCATTTTCTGCTGCAGAACGAAAGACACAGAATGACAAAGGGGAACAGCAGAATCCCACTCCTTGTTAAGAACCACCTTACAGGATCAGCAGTTCAATCAGGAATTGGGGGACGAAGTGAAGAAGCCCCCTTTGTTGGAGACTTGGAGCCAAGCCAGGGTCGGAGAGAGACTGGCCGAGCCCAGGGGAGGAGTCAAGCGAGGAATTACACGTAGTCCTCAACTTACAACAGTTCGTTTAGTGACCGGAGTTACAATGGCACTGAAAAATGTGACTTAGGGCCATTTTTCAAAGTTATGACCTTTGCAGCATTCCCCATGATCAGAATTCAGATGTTTAGCTACCGGTTCACATTTATGACCGTTGCTGTGTAGCCAAAGGTCGCGTGATCCCCTTTTTGCGACCTTCTGACCAGCAAGGTCCATGGGGCAACCGGGTTCATTTAACAACCAGCGTACTAACTCAGCAACTGCAGAGAGATTCACTTAACAACAGTGGCGAGGAAAATCGTAACACGGGGCAAAGCTCACTTAACCAATGACTCGCTTAACGGCGGAAATTCCGGGGCCCGGTTCTGGTTGAAAGTTGAGAACTACCTGAACCTCATCCAGCCTAGTCCTGGTGCAAACTGCCAGTCTGGGAAAGACTGCTTTTAAGTCAGCTTTGAGCAACTGAACTGAAAGACAGAACAGAAGAAGAACTGAACAGAACTGAAGAAGCTTCTTGGAGGAGAAGCGAAAGGTCTTCAGGGAAAAAACAAAGTCCAGTTGCCTTTTGAAAAAGCCCGTTTGGGACAACCAGGACCTGGAGGAACTCCACAGATACTTTGAGCAAGAAGATAGGTCTAGGGTAGGTCTAGTACAGGTGTAGGCAACCTTGGCTCTTTTATGACTGGTGGACTTCAACTCCCAGAATTCCTGAGCCAGCGTGGGGGAACTATGGCCCCCTCATGACTCGTGGACTTCAACTCCCAGAATTCCTGAGCCAGCCTGGCTCAGCTCGGAAACCTCTCCCTTTCCCCTCAGCATGGCTGGCTCAGGAATTCTGGGAGTTGAAGTCCACCAATCATCAAAGAGACAAGGTTGCCTACCCCTGGTCTAGTTGCTCACCCCCAACATTTGGAGAGCCGTCTTGCAAAGAGAATTTAGATATTGGAACTGGGCTGGGGATCGAATGCAACCATCTGTCTGAGCCTTTTCAGGCTTACGATTCTAAGGAGGGAGATCTCATGAGGGTTTCTCCCCACCCCCAAATCTGCTGCTAGCAAAAACCCAGCCTGGTGGAATTGCAAACTCAAGATTTTTGCCCTGGATCCATTTGGAGGGAGGACCAGGTGTTCTGTTCACCTATTTTAGTAGATCGGATGCAGCTCTCTGGGAAGCTGCCTCATTCACACTCCCATTTTTAAAACCCAATTTAAAGTTTTGTTTTTTTTTAAAACAACCCAATTACCCACTTTTTGCGCCAAAGTACTTATTTATTTAAGCGCCTCGGCCCGATTACTCCCAAAGGCGTGTAAAAGAGGGTTACGTTAAAGCACATTAGAGGAGATTAAAAATAAAAACTCCTGTGGATTAAAATGGCAGTGGCTGGCTGCGCCGTTCACTTGGGCGAGGGCTACGGTGCCTGTTCGTGGCTGCAACGTCGGGTAAATATTGTAAGGTACTCAAAAAGTAGCAAAAAAACGCGGTTTGGGCTAATTGCAAAGATGAGTAAGAATAAAATGAAAGCGGTGATCAAAGGGCTGCCTGCCGAAAAGGGAAGCGGCGAAGGTGTGACAAGCAGACAGATTGAGGATTGCTCCATAACGGCACTTGTCAAAACAACACGGTGTGTGTGTGTGTGTGTGTGTGTGTGTGTGTGTATTGAAAATGCTGCCCTGGGGAGGCCCATCCAAGTCTTGCAAAATGGCTTGCAGTGGTTGCAAAGAATAAGAATAGAATAGAGCTGGAAGGGACCGCGGAGGTCATCTAGTCCAGCCCCCTGCTCAAGCAGGAGTCCCTATACCATTTCAGACAAGTGTCTGTCCAGTCTCTTCTTAAAAACCTCCAGCGATGGATCACCCACAACTTCTGGAGGCAGGTAGTTCCACTGGTTAATTGTCCTCACTGTTAGGAAATTTCTCCTTCATTCCAGGTTGCTTCTCTCTTTGATAGCTTCAATCCATTGTTTCTTGTCTTGCCTTCTGGTGATTTGGAAAATAAGGTGACCCCCTACTCTTCTTTGTGGCAGCCCCTCAAATACTGGAATACTGCCATCACGTCCCCCCCTAGTCCTTCTTTTCCTCTAGACTGGCCAAACCCAAATCCTGCAACCGTTCTTCGTATGTTTTAGTCTCCAGGCTTTTAATCATCTTAGTTGCTCTTCTCTGCACTTTTTCCGAAGTCTCAATCGTTCTTTTGTAGCATGCTGACCAAAACTAGATGCAGTATTCCAGGTGTGGCCTTACTAAGGCTTTACAAAGCGGTACTAATACTTCACGTGATTTTGATTCTATGCCTCTGTGTCTTCTTTGCAACCAAGAAGATCAACAACCCCCCCCCCCCCAGAAACACTAATGCCACTAATGTGTCTGTCTATGTCTGGGTATAAATACAGCCCTTTAAAAAAAAAAATGGCACGACAGCGGTCTCATGACAGCTCTGTGTGGACACCCTGCAAAACAGAGTAACAGGCTAGGATGGTGAGGAGCCAGGTGGCAAATAACAGAATAACAGAGTTGGAAGTGACCTTGAGGTCATCTAGTCCAACCCCGAGACCCTACCTAGACCATTTTAGGCAAATGGCTGCCCAGTCTCTTCTTAAAAACCTCCAGGGATGGAGCACCCACCACTTCTGCAGGCAAGTTCACACAAGGACGCACTCCAGGATGCCAGGAAAACTCCTGAGGATCGACTGAGTCGCAGCTGAGATATTTTAAGAGACTGGAGGAATCCATTCATATCTTGAAATAATTGAAATAATAATTAACAGCGAGAGAAGGAGCAGCTTCTGCAGGTCTCTCCTCACCTTAAAAATACAGAGGAAGGCTTATTGCCCTCCAAACGCTGAACACGACACTGCCCGCCATCTCCCAGCGGGACAGTCCATTAATCCTTGGAGTACAGCCAGTCCTTGACTTACGGCCATTTATTTAATGACCGTTCGAAGTTGCAACAGCACTGAAAAAAGGGACTCCTCCCTTTTGCAACCGCACGGTCACATGATCAAAATCTGGCAAACCGTCCTGTCCTTACGACGGTTGCAGCATCCCGGGGTCCATGGGATCGCCTTGCCCTCGGTGACCCTCCCAGCCGGCAAAGTCAATGGGGGGGTGGGTGGGAACTCTGGATTCG